TTTTTTTAAAATCGTTCTTTCAATCTACTGTATATTTCTCCATCCCTGCGGGCTTAGCTCTCTTGATGCCTCATCGAGACGTCGAACAAGCTTGTGTTGCATGCAGGGGCCAGTCCGCCGTGATCGAGCTTTGTGGATGCACTGTCCGAGAGACATAGAGCTTTGATGCTGGTGCATAAGCCTGCCTTGGGACATGACCTGACCATGTAGATGCCACACAGCACACATCATGTACTGTATGGTGCCCTCACACCAAAAAGTGTCTTAAATAACGGTGTCTTTGTACGGTATATGAATGTGATGATCAACAGCTGCCGCTGGCCGGAATTGAAAAAGGCCCCAGAACTACCAAACAAAGAATCCTTCGAGTCCTGTGCTGCTGCATGACTTGAGCCTTAGAACCGCTGCCCAGTGGCTAAATCTTGCCTGACCTCATCCATCTGGGAGACCAAAACTCGGCCGACGGGACCTGGAAAGCGTCCAGACGTCGCCACGACAACCACATGACGACCCTTATGAGGAACATCCATGAGTCCAGATGGAAGCAAACATCTGTCTGATTCTTTTATGACATTTATTCCAACAAATCCGTCGACCGATTCAGTCTATACAGCTTTAAAATGGTTTAAGCCTACACGCAACCAAAGGGGCCTCCAAACCACAAACCAACCCCTCATGTGCTTGACATTCTGCACGGCGTCGATCCGAAGCGAAAAACGGCGCCTGGCACGGTCACCGGCCGGTCAGGATGGAGTATTCCTCGAAGCCCGAGAGCGGCAGAGGCGAAAGCATCGAGATGAACCGAGGGCATCGAGAAAATCCTGGAGCCCTCGGCCCTCTCCAGGACTTTTCGAGGAAACATCTCAGACCGACCAATTGGAGGAACAGCGAAAGTGACGATTCCAAAAGACCAAGTGGGCATACCACGCTGAGTCTTCCTGCTCAAAGAGACCAAACACACCTGTCACCACTTGGCTCCGTAGTTGTCTTCACAGTTGTTCGGAGACCCAGGAGCTGCTCAAGTCGAAGTCTTGGACCAGCTGAAAGCTCTCGAAGCCCTGGCGCCCCACTTCCACCAAAAAGTTGTAAACCTCAATCAGTTCACTGGGCCTCTGGCGGGTCCGACCAGTGGCGGACTGAATGCGAAAGCTACATGGCGCTGCTCGCCACATGGTGAAAGCTTTTCTTGCATGGCTCATTAGGGCGACTCTACGAATGCAGGGTGAAGGCAGTGCCTGGCAAGCAGCAGTTTGGCCATCAGCTTCGAACGAATGCATACGATGCACTTTCCCAAAGCCGTTCCTCAGCACATCGAGATGGTGCCGTGGGTCTGGAATTCAGCAAGGGAACATCGAGGATAACACTCCGGTTTCGTGTAGACTGATATGCTCACATCTCCTCTCAGATCGGTTAGTTGCACATCTCCAGTGAAAACAGTTCGGGACGGATGGCTCAAAGCCTGGAACAACCTTAGTCCCTGATCAGCCCATGAGCTCGCCCCAGGCTGAAAATCCCTCAGTCCCAGTAGTTCGTGTTGGATAGGTGTCTGACCAAATTGTCTTTCAAACATTTCTCGAGCTTTCTAGCTATCAACCTCCTGCGTGATGGGAGGGCCTATCGATTCATCACGCTCAATTGGATCGATTCAAAATGATTCAAATTCACATGCGGCGGGGGGGCTCATGGGGTGATGAAGTGCCCCATGTGCGCCTTCGTGCAATCTTGGTTGAGTTCGATGGATGTTTCAAACATCCTTCCATAAGCTAGCAACTAAGATTCGGATAAATTAGGGGTCATATATGTTGATGAATGTATATACACACAAATAATATACACATTGTTACTAATTGTTACATACAAATATAGTACAGTATAATATATAGACCCCAGCTAGAGCCCCAGAAAGGCCATCCGATGCCACGGACGGAAGACCTCGAACATCGACATCCCAAGTCTCCAGGAGCCCACCACGCCCAAGCGAGAGCTCTTCGCCAGCTCTTCACTGCCCCGTTTCGCCTCCCCAAGCACACACGAAGCACGGACAAGAAGGAGCTTTTGGAAGGCAGTGGGTGCCAGTGCGATGCTGCCATTCAGTCTCCCAGTTGCAGTTAAACATAGTTAATCAGGATTTTGGATACATCTTGCCATTCAACTCAACAAAGGAAGCCACCGATGTTTTTGGAGGCACACCCACCTGAGTGTCCTCAAGACTGACGAGGCTCGACAAGCCAGGCCCTTGCCTCTCGGACTTTCTCCCAGGACACCTTTTTCTCGTCTTCCAACTTGCCTGGCGCATCACACCCCACAAGCCTTGATACCCTCCGCAGTGCTGTGAGCCCATGCTGTCAGCCCATGCTGGCGGCACCAAAACAACGGAACAACGTCAGAAGTTCCTGCGAACATTCTGAGGACTCCTCACCGAGTCACTGCCCGATCACTGCCTGATGAGCCAAGGGGCCGTTGGACTGCCTGATCATCTCTCGCTTAAACCTGAGGCCACATCCAGAACCCTTCTTAGGGATCTTGGGGGTGTGGAATCACGAAGGCCAGCCACATCCTCTTCCAATTACTCTTGCCATTTGGTCAAACACAAACAAGCTCCAGATCGGTAGATCTGAGGTCTTCCGCGACTTGAGTAGTGATGCCCTGCTGATCTGAGGCGTCCACGTGATGCGGAAGACATCCCCCGGGCGCCCATCCAGGAACCACGTGCAGCCGCGCGATTTGCCGCAGTGATCCGGACCTGTTAGACCGGTCATAGTGTCTGAAACAGGTGTAGTATGTATCCTCCCTGGAGAGTTGTTGGAGCATCCTTTGATCCAAACATGGAACCAGCCTAACCTTCGGGTGAATCGATCCGTGCTGGATACTTGAGGCCGCCAGCATGGAAAAAAACTGAGGTCATCATTATTACGTTGGTCTAATGCCTTCACCGTGACCTGAAGGCCCTGAAGTCTACAGCCTTATGCGACGCTCACCATCGGCACCTTGGCCAGGCTCACGCTGCGCCGCTTTCCTCCGCCCAGGAGCAATCACTTGGCCCCAGTCCTGTCAACCAAGTGGTGATTGCAAGCACTGCGGTTCGGGTTTGGGGTGTGTGTGTGTGTGTGTCTCTGTGTGTGTGTGTCACACCCTGGTTCTAAGGGTTTTCCACGTTCTCACCTTTCCACTGTAACAAAGGCAGGGGGCCACAGCTCCATTCATCAGTCTGTGGCCAACGAAGCTACTGATGTTTGGAGAGGATATGAACCTGGGACGCCAGGTTCACGTACCTGCGACAGGTTTGAACTTTTGCACACGCTGTCTACTCTCCTGGTTTGTTTCCATGGTTTTTCCACGTTTCTTCCCCTAAACCAACTTTTCCTGCAACTGTGCCCGTCACCGCATCGACTGTGCAGATCGACCTCGAGGCCACTCGGAAACAATGTTCAACAATACAGTTTTTGCGGACTTATGCGCCTTTCCGTTCCCTCACCTTTCTTCCCATCGTGGAAACTGAGTCTAACTGAAAACCAATGTCGAAGTGTGTGTGCGTGAGATGATGCGCACTAGTGCATACTAACCTTCTATACCAGCATGGTTTGTAAGCTTAAATGATTCCACGAGCTGCACTGAGCCAACCAATGTGGTCGCATCAGAAAGGCTGCACAGGGGTGGTCTTCTTCAAGTGGTTCTTGTCCAACGCAACATGTCGATGGGTCGCTCCCCGTCGCTCCGTTTTCGGAGCGATGTAGCTGACTTGGTCTGCATGGCACACCCAAAAGCCTTGGGTGAGTGGCCGAAAGGCATCACGCTGCACTACTGTCCCATTTTTGTTGAGTGTCTGGGGTTCCCGGGTTTTGTTCGGGTTTTGGATGGAATTGTGGCCGTTTCACTTTTCACCCCATCTACCCAAAAGGCCTGTCCTCATTCCTCAAGAGTTGGAACTCACCTCCGTGGCAAGGTAGCTCGACCTGCGACCGCACGGTGCATCGAGGAGGTTGGTCTGATGGATTCCGCGCGCAGAATTAATCTGGACATGCGCGCGCACACGCGCGCACACACACACACACATATATATATACACCTTAGGATTCAATACACGAAGAAAACGTCAGGTCTGAGTGAATACCCGGGGTTTTCAGATGAAACCCGGGGTTTTTAGCTGAAACCTGGGTTTTGGTTTTCCTGGGCGGCCCTGTTTTCCCCACTGATGTGAGGAAACCTGCCCTGGTCTGAATTAGGTGGTCTAAGGTGCACTCAGCTCCTGGATATAACTATAGAAGGGCAAACAAAAACAACTGTGGGCTACAATTTCTAGTCATTCGGACAGCCCCCAGACCCACGATTTTTTCACGGGTTTGCACGGGTAAATCACGGGTTTGGCATGGGTTTGGCACGGTTGGGAATACCTAGGGTTTTCATGAAAACCCGGGGTTTTCTTACTAAAATCACGGGTTGGCACGGGTATATCACGGGTTTTCCACGGGTTAGTTGAGGCAACATCTCAATCCGGAACTTTTCCCGATTGGGGTAAGATAATTCCGTTGTGGGGAAGAAAATGGGATTGAAAAAACCTGCGCTGCTTCATGTTTCTTGGGTTTTTACCAGGTTGTCCTGGTCAAGTCAAGACTTAGAGC